ATATGTACTTTTAATAAGGTTTAAAAGTACTCGCAATAGTATTATAATCCATCAAGATGCAAATGAATGAACAAAACAGCAGTTTATCCATGCAACATTTGCTTACAAAAGTGCTATGGGGAAAGCTTCCAACATAAAAAGCTAATTCAAAAATATATGGAAGGACCAGAGGTATAGCTCAAGTGGTAGAGTGCCTGCTTTGCAAGAGTTAAGCCTTGAGTTCAAAACCCAGTCCTGCAAATAAAAAAAAGGAAACAAAATTAGAGAACAAAGCAAATTTCAAAGAAACTGGAGAATAGCATTCATGAAACAATGCCATAAGAACAATATGAAATACTGAGAAATTTAGAAAAAGCTTTTATAAACAACAACAACAACAACAAAAAAATGGTAGTTGAACCAAAATATTCAATGGGAGGATTGGAAGACAAAGGAAATAACTCAAAAAGTACTTTTAAAAAGTACTAGGAGAGAATCTTTGATATCCAATATAAACTATAAGATATCCAAAAAAGGAAAAGAAGAAAGTCCAAGGGAAATTTAAAAAAATTTCCTAAAACCAAAAGGTTGAAAAGGTATAGATATCACACAAAAATAAATTAAAAAATACGTAAGGTATATCCCTTTGAAACTTCAAAATACCAGGGATAAACAGAAAATTTTAGAAACTCATAGAAACAGAAAAGAAAAAATCAAGAACGCTATAGATCTTCTAAACAATACTGAAGTTGGAGGTCAAGATGATGCCTTCAAAATTCTGACAGAAATGTTTTCCAAGTCATAATTGTATAGCCAGCCCAATTATAAGTCAAAAGAAAGGATTTATCACTTTTTAGGCATTTGAAATTTGCCACTTAAAGATGCCTTTGCAGGAAATATTTAAAGGATCCTCTTCATAAAAGTTAACATAAAGATGGAAGATATAGTTTAAGAAAATAGAAAACTATAGGAAATACTTAGAATGACAGCAAAGATAGGCCCTCAACAGCTGTGTACCAAGCAGAGGGAAATTTCCGGTTTGGAATAAGATGAAAGACTAAGAATGTGGGAAGAAAAGATACACCATCTGCTAGGTTCAAGGTGAGCTACAGAAAAGACTGGAATATTGTGAAACTTCTTAGACAAATGTAACAAAAAAAAAAAAAAACCCTAAGACCTCAAGGGAAAACTGTAGGAAAAAAAGGAAACATAACTATAGTACACTATGGCTCCATAGTAACAAAACTTTAACTCACAATAAAAAAAAGATGAGAGTGTAGATTAAACCACAAGTCCATACTGGGATGATGAAGGGAAAAAGGTGTAAAAGCACTTTCTCTTCTACCATAGTAGGACAAATGGTAATGTCTATAAAATTTCCAAATACATACTGTACTCAGAAATAAGGACGTATACAGCACTGAGAAACAAATGTTAAGAGTACAAGACTCCAGCATTATTTGACTTTTTAAAAACAACGTAGCTTGGTGTAGTGGTGCACACATGTAATCCCAGCACTTTCAGAGCCTGCAGCAGGAGGACTGCCAAATCGGAAGCCAACCTGGGCTAAATAGGAAGACCCTTTCTTAAAAAGAAGAAAGAAAGAAAAAGAAAAAGGAAGCAATGATATGTTACTTTGATATAAAATTTTAATGTTTGAATAAAACAAAAAATGGCTTAAAGTTAGCACCCAAAATGAACACATATGCTAGGCCCTGGAAATATAGTGGTGAATAAGACAAATTTCAAGCCTAAAGGAGTTATTTCTACTAAAAGAAAAAAATGCACAAGACAATAAATTTACAATACAATGACATACTCAGAAAAAGTTTAGTAAACTTTTTAAACAGAGTTTAGTAAACTTAGTAAACAGAGATGAGTGCTAGAGGTTGGTAAGAATACTATTTTTTATAAAGTGGTCAAAGAAGGTCACTCTGAAGAGTGAGACTTGATCAAAATCTGAATGATGGACTGAACTTTACAAAGGTATGGATGAACAATGGTACACAGGGAAAAGAAAGATGAAAAGTTTAAGTTTGATATGTTGAAACCAGTAAAAATCCAGAATTAAGAGCAGAATTATCTAAGATGTAAGACACAAGATTTGGGCAGTCAGGAATGAAAATAAGTTGGATATGATAAAAAGTTGGATATCGGTGCTTAAGCTGGTGACATGAAATTCACTGATGAGAAAGAAATGATTATTATTAAGTGTTTATCAAATGAACTACAGTGAAAACTTATTTCATTTGTCTTTCTGGATAACAACAGAAAAATCTGAGGACGAGTGTGTATGGTCAAGTGTGTATAGTCACCACACAAAGAGAAAGAGACAATGCCTATGAAAGTTAAGAAAACTAAGAATGTCAAACTTTAGAGGTGAGTTTAATGATACCACACACACACAGTACACATTTTATAAAAACACAGATGTACAACCACCAATAAAATGTTTGCAAAGGAAATCAGATTGCAAAATTATTTCCTTCAATGATAATTTCCTTCAAAATATCAGTCTTATAGCTTAAAATTAAGCAATACAAAACTGTAAGGATTAATTACGTATCTTTAAATTGCCTTACTTAGACAGTATGTGTTTAATGTACTTATTCCCAGAAAGTATCCCACATATGAGAAGATGCTTAGGCTCTAAAATGCTACCAACCCTCCCCCTCCCCAAAAAAGCCCCCAAAAAGGTTGGAAATATTAAAAGGAAACACTGAACAAAAGGTAAGGGAACAGAGTGCGTGAGGTAAGATTAATAGTTTGGAACTGCACATTGGAACTACCTTACGCTTGAGACCAGGCCATTCCACTTCATTCTGATCTAAAGAGGGGATTTGGGAACATTCTTCCAATACACAACCCAAACTGGGTGCTTCTGGATTAGACGTGTAAAGCAGTAAAAACGGGAAAGCTTAGATTGGTAGTTAATTTTGTTGATACAGAAAGCAAACAATATAGACTAAGTAAGACTCTGATCCCACAATTCTCCTGCTGAAAAACTAAAAGAAAAACACCCAAAGAGCTAACTCTTCAAGGCTCTCACTGCCTGCTCTTTACAGTTTAATGTCTCAGATGTTGATCTGAGGGTTTCTATGGTCTGGTTTCCCCATCTACCTCTTCAATCCCACCTCCTTTAACTCTGAACAAGCAAGCTAAGATACTGTACAGCCAAACTAAAAATTAGTTTCGGCTTCTAAAACATGCCAAATTATTTCATTCCTCTTTTTGCATGAGTCCTTCTGCCTAGAATATATGCCCCATTCCACTTAGTGTATCTAGAGTGCCTCCATAACTCCTAATCATCATGAAGTTCAAGTATACCTTGTTCTGCAATCTTCAGGACCCACCTGAGAGTCATCACTACATTTTTACAAATACCTGTTACATAACTAACCACACTGCACTTTTCTATGCCAGTCTAATTTATAATCTTTGCTTGTTTTGGGACAAAGTATGCTTTTTGTTTTGTTTTGAATCTGTACTTCCTTTGCCTAATTCTAACACTCACTGGTTTATGGACAATGAGTAAACGTTACAAGAATGAGAATAACACAATGACCACCAGTTGAACTAAAGTTAAAGAAAAAGTCTAAGTAAAAATGGGGACTTACAAGTCCTGAACAATTAATTATGTCATTATAAAAAGTTGCCCATGAATGTCGAATGTCATTCACCATTTTCTCAGTTTTCCTTTCACATCTTTTATTCCCTTCCAGTCTGATTATGGAAGCCTCAAATGAAAAAAGATAAACTGCAATAATAAAGAGGAAAAGGGAGAAAAGGGAATGGGATGGTGTACACAGGGAAAGGAAAATACTTGGGGAATTTTTGTTTCTTAAATTCGGGTGATGTTATAAACGAGTGATATTACCAATCTTTATGCTTTTAATTATGTGTTACAATTCTTTGTATAGTGAATTTAAAAAACAAGGATTAGAAAACGTAAACTGTAGAAAAATACTGCATTAAATTTAAGGGAATATTCATTAAATTTAAGGGTAATATTCAAGGAATTCGGGCTGCTTTGAAGTCACTTAAAAAGTGGTATTTATCAGTGGTAACTGCACACACATATGTGTGTACATGTATCTACATTTATAACCTTGAAAAGGACTATTTCAGTGTCCTTATCAATTTACAGAGCAAGTGAACTAAAACCATTTGCATTCCTTCCGACTTCCTAAATCCAGAAAAAAAAAATACGCACATGAATAATAATGTTTGATACCATGATAAAACCAAAAATGTTTGTAAATTATGCCCAGCAAAATGAGACTAGTTGCATTTAAAACTGGTTGAAATTACTAGGAAACCATTCTATTAAAAGGATGCCTTTTTTTTTTTTTGGCGGACATTTACTCTTTTCCCAAGACATCACCTCTCATTCTGACTCAGAACAGGTTTTACAACTTCTTGGCCCTCTGGACTTGCAACTTCTAGGTGTCTCAAAACCTGTTCCAGACTAATTACGGACACGTAACATCTTACACATAATCGAAAGCACTTAGTTTTTGTAAACGCCTAAAAAAAGGGGGGGGTTGGGAAATGAAGATTTCCAGAAAAGCAAGCATCGCGATAGAACCCATTCCCGAGTCCCAAAGAGCAGGAGAAATCAGAGAGACGTGAGGTGCGCTGGCTTGGACAGCAGGGCGCAAAACCAAGCGACGCTAGCTTAGAAATGAAAGAAAATAAGAAAAAGGAAGAGTTTTAGGCTTCGGGGCGGACGTATCCTGGGGCGAAACAGACGTGCAATGCTTAATGGAGATAGAAAAGGTGCTCGAACCGCTTCCAGGCATCATTAAGTGTTTTCCAGTCTGCTTCGCCCAAATCCTCCAGTACTGTTTGCCTTCTCTCCGACTCCCTCCCCGCGGCTCCCCAAACCCCAGTCTCCCCGGTACATTCTCCATCCAGTCTGCCCCTCGGCACCTCGGCACCCTCCATCAGCCCAGAGCCCTGCCTCGCTGACCCCTTCTGCGCCTCGGCTTCGTGCCGCAGCGCAGCTCCATCCTCCTCACCTTGGTTACAGAAGAGGCTCCACAGTTTCGCGAAGATCAGCCCCATCATGGGCACCTAGGCAGGCCGCGGGGTCCCTCAGCAGCAGGTGCCGCTGCGCCGGCGGCCCCCCGCCCCCCACCCCTCCGCGGCGCTGGCTGTGGGGAACCGAGGACCGCGAGACGCGGGCACTGGTTGGCTAAGAAGCCGCGATCAGCCGCTCAGATACCGGACACAGGGTGCCGCGCAGACTCCCCACCAGACAGTCCTTTGTTTCGAGATCGCTGAGCCTAACGCCGACCCGTAGTCCCCTCGGTCTGAACCCACCCACCCACCGGAGTCTCCACCAGCCCTAAGCCCCGCCTCCGCTCCTCCTCCCCTCCGGATCCCAGGACCACCCATCGCCGGAAGGATGGCGCGTGACGTAAGCGCGCTTACGTCAACGCACGCCTCCGACGTGGCGTTTCCTGCGGTCGCACTTCCGGTAGGCTGGCTCGGAGCTGGCTGGCTGGCTTCTGAAGGGGTGCTGATAAGGAGTTTAGGGAATTTCCGTTCGCGCGTGCTTGCCCTCTTGTCACTTCTGAGAAATGTTTACCCGGTTCAGGTCCTTGGGTCTCACCGACCCGCGACGCTGGCCTCTAAAAACGGAAAAGGCCGCATTTTTCCGGTGTAGTGACCGCGGTTTGCTGTCCTCTGGCTGCATTGCAGTGAGAAGTGCTTTTCTCTTTACTGACCTCTTCCTGTTCCTGGGGCAGGCCGACTTGGGGATGTGCGTGATTCTGAATTCCGATTAGAATAGATCGGGAGACGAGCCATAGAGTCCCGGTATCCGCCAACGGTCCTCCCTCCCCTCCCACCGCAGCTGTGCCGAGCATTAGGTATCTTCGTTGGTTGCAAGTTAAAATCCGTCCCTAAGCCATTTCAAAAGAAAAGCACAGTCCGAAATGAGACAAAACTGATGGAGCAAGCATGATTGAAGAGACCACTGACTGTAGTCAAGAGGGAGGATTTTACCCCTGGCAGCATGGCCTTTGAACATGCTGTACAAAAAGAAGTGCATAGATTATGATGTCTTCCCACGCTTCGGTCCCAAGACCCTTCAAAATGGATGAAGGACGATGTGCTGTGACTTCCTGATGTTAGAAGCAAATCTTGACGCACGAAGAGGAAAAGGGACGCAGGAAGCCTAGGCAGGTTTAACTTTAATGATCATAAATTGGACCCCAGATCCCACAAATGATTTTGTGTTTGTGTAAACAGAAGCTCAAGGAGACATTTTTACTGCTAGCTTCATTACTAAAAAACAAACTAGATTTTGTATTAGCTTCTTAAGTTTTTAGTCATGACACTACTCTTTTCTGTTTCTGATTTCTAAGAAAGTTTCTGAAAAGAGCAAAGTATTTGTTGAAAAGCAGAGTAAGCAAAAAGTTACAGATTTACCAAGTATTTTTATGATGGCCTAATAATACTTTGTAGATAGCAAATAGGAATTGTTGTTTTGACAAAGTGGAATAGATGTATTTGAGTAGGACTGTTGGTATTTGTATTGGTTCTATTCTTTAGAAATACCTGAAAATTTTACCGTGAGGAACTTTTTTTATAATTTACTTTTTTCTATGAACTTACCTGATAATGGGACTGCACTAATGTTTTTTAAATATGTTTTCATATTAAGAAGTTTTATTTGGAGATTGGGAAATTTGAAATTTTTACCAATTTTTAACACCTAAGTTCATATTGTATATTTGTATCAACTATATATCAGTTAAATTGTAGTAGGAATACTTGTCAAGAATTTAACCAAAATAGACAATTCTGAGAATATACTTTTTAAATGGAGCAGTTAGAAACCTAATAATCTGTGATTTGTTTTTCTTAATACATCCCTTCAAAAAATATTTTTAACTAATTTCAGCGTATCCCTTGATGTAGAGGAGGTAATACTGTCCTATAAAATGGAAAATACATTTTGAATTCATGAAATGGGAAAAATGTCATGATAAAAAGGAAAATAATACTATCATTAGGATTATAACTTACTTTTTGATTGTTAACTGGAAGTCACTTTCATTAAAATAGAATCCCAGTAAAATCTCTATCTAGTTTCAAAAATATGAAAACAATGTATACGCTCTGCACTTAGTACAAAATAAAGGAACTGAAATTTTAAGGATGAAAAATGTTCAACAACTCAGGGAGCTTAAATAAAAATACATATAGAATTTTTTAGAAAGAACTATTATAAAACTGACTTCAGATGATACTTGGAAGAACTGGCTGCAGCTGGAATTTAATTCAATTTATTACACAGTTAACTTAGTTCAATTTGTAAATGTTTTGAAAGGAGAATTCCAGGAACTGTGTGTTCTGCCAGTAAGAATGAAAGTTATTCTTTAAAAACTCTCTTCAACCTTTAAAGTAATGTCCAATGCAGTTTTAGTCTGGTTGACATTTTCCAGATGAGTTGTGATTGGTAGATTTCCCATAGGAAATTCTCTTTTGCTACATGGCCTAAGAAATCAATATGATTTCATTCAGTAAATATTGAGAAACACATGCTTTGTAGATGTTGTAGGTGATAAAAAAATTTAATATCTCATTCTAGTCAGTAGGAAGAATATGTTAGTAAAATTTGGACAGTGTTGTTTTATGTTCACAAACGACCCATAATATCATGAATGTTGAAGCATCTACAAAGTCAAAGTATCCTTGAGTATATGACTTTGGTCATAATTTAATCAACAAAAATTAACATTTCCTGTACTTTTAAGACTCACACATTTAGTAAATGGGCATTCCAACAAGTGCCCCCAAGCATTCTTTTGAGGGTTGACCTTTTTCCAGCACTGCTTTAAAGCTCTTTACCCAGTTGATTTAGTTTTTAGCAATACTATAATATAGAACCTATCATCTCTAACAATGAGGAAAATAAGGTACAACTTTAATAATTTGCCTGAAGCTACTATAGCCAGAATTTGAACCCACGTAGCCTACTTTCAGAAGTCAAATTCTTCACAATTCCAAAGAGATGGATCACCCAATAATCCTAATAAACCCCCCAATCACAAGTTAAAACCTTTTTATTTTCAGAATGTATGTAATTTGTTCCTTTCCTAGGCGGGAAAGGTATGTTCAAGACAAGGCAAGCAGGGATCTAAGTGCAGTGGTAATGCTGGATCTTAAGTGTCCCCAGTAGTAAACTAATCCTCAGTGTTCCATAAGAACAGCAGGGAAAATAGGAAGTTATAAAGTACATATTGGCATTTCTAGAAATTAAGATAAACCACTCCAAAGGCTTGTTTGTTTGTTTTATCCTGGCAGCGTTTTCAACTGAATCATGTTCAGTCATTTTTCTGCTTCCCAGATACACAGATCCTAATTTAGGATCCTTCTCCAATGAAGCCATGTATATCTGAGAAGCTCATACTAGATAGAGATGCCGTCCTGATGTAGATTGGATTTATGGATGACTGAGTGAGCATATAGGTGTAGGAGGATGGCACAACAGTGTAATCACAGCACAGGGAAGGCTAAGGCAGGAGGATCTCAAATTCAAGGCCAAGCTGGACTACAAAAAGAGACCCTGTTTCAGAAAAACAAAATCAGGAAGGAAGAACCTTCTCCTTGAGTGGAGAAAGCCAGAATCCAGAATTAGGACTCCTCCCAGAATCAAGTTAAAATGACATTTTGAGGGTTGGTAGAGTGGCTCAAGCAGTAGAGCACCTGCCTAGTAAGCATGAGGCCCTGAGTTCAGACCACAGTACTACAAAAAAAGAAAAAAAAAAACTTTGGCTGAAATACCATTTTGAGAGAGAAAAGGCTAGCCTGGTTGTCGTAAAAGAAGTAAACGAACAGTGTCAAAGAATGTATATAAAAAGTAAAAACTATATAGAAATTAGTTGCTCTCTTTTGTATTGACAGGAAAGTAATTATCTAAACCAGTTTTTTTCTTTCTTTGAAAATTATCACCCTATGGAGTCTTTCTAAGCATTTCCCCCCAATCTCTCTATGCTACCCACCATGAAATTGAATACTAAGGAATACAATTTTTTGTAAAGTTAAGTTTTGGAGTGCTAGGAACCAAGATTTAAGATGATATCTGAGATTTCTTCTCCCCATCAATCCACCCATGGGTGCTGTACCACCCCTTTAAAGAATATATAACCTGCATGACTCTTGAATGGCTGTATTCCTGTTGGGATCTTCCTTTGCTTAGATAGTATATCCTCTATACCAACTTCAGATTTGTAGCATGCTTTTCTTGTTCCTAACCTCAGAATATGGAGACTTCTTCATCAATGTGACTGTCACTATAATGTCTAGTCAAGATAAATCTAAATGTCCTCAACACTAAGTGTGCTAAACTAGTGAAGTTATTTTGAGCAAATAATGCTTTAATATCAGTTTCTATATTTCATAAAGATGTCCACTCATGTATTCATTTAGTCATTCTATAAGTGCTTATTATGTGTTAGGCACTGAGTACCAAGTGGTGAGGTAAACTCTCTGCCCTCATGGAACTTAAAATCTGGTCAACTTGTTCTCTCTTTTCCCTGATCTCTTATGAAAATAATTTTTGGTGGATGCCAAAATTCCTTTGGAAATGTGTGTTCTAGATATTTCCTTTACCAGTTTCAGATCATTTGACCACACAAAAAAATTCCATGCATTTACTAAAGAAATATGGTATGGTGGAAAGACAACGTATTGGATTAGTAATTTGAATAATCAAGTTACTATTGTCTTTAGCCTGACTGGAAAATGATTTTGGCTCAGAGACCGTTGGTTTACTCATCTCCCAAACATAATGCTAACCATCTTGCCGATGTTGCATAGCATAATGACCATGCTACAGTAATTCAAGTGGCAAAGAGTTAGTGTATCATTGAAGGTAGCTATTTTTAAAACTCAGTGTGAAAGTTTAAGAGAAAAAGACAAGAGAAACCCTTCCTGTGGTTATAAATGACAATGGTGTACTGCAAAAACAAAACAAAACTTCAGCCAAGGAGACAAAACTACTTAACTGTTCAATCAAAATGGCTGTTATTTTGGTTAAGTACCTTTTGCCTTTCAAATCTTTTCCCTTATCAGATTATGACAAAAAAGAAAAAGATTATTTCAAGGCTCTCCCATGCTCTACAGTACATGTCAACTATGATACAAGTAGCCATTAGCCTTGTAACAATTTTAAAGTCTGTGAATTTTAAGTTTTACAAGCATTCATGGATATAACACACCAGTATTCCAACTTTCAAAAATATGTATAGTGTTGTTTATTCACAAGTGAAGTCTGATGTGTTTCAGAGACACAGTTTCACGAATTCAAAAGTTGGCTGAAAAAGCTAAGCATGGTGGCAGTGCTGGTCAACCAGCTAGGGCAGGAGGCTTGAAATAGGAGGATCAGGGTCCAGATGAGACCCTGTCTCCAAAATAACCAGAGCTGAAGGGGCTGGAAGTGTAATTCAAGTGGTAGAGTACCTGCATAGCAAGCAAAAAGTTCTGAGTTAAAACCTTAAGTATAGAAGAAAAAAAAAAAAAAAAAGCCAAAGGTGGCTGATAACCAAATAAACTCTGGCCTTAACCTATATTTGGAGGTCACCAGAAGGACAGTAATTGGGTCCCTCGCCTTATCCAAGTAAACGATGTCTTCCCCTTTCCCTTCGATGTAAGCCACCATATATGCCTTCACCATAATAAACTCGGCTTGCTCCCCATGTTCGCCACCTCTCACTGCAGAGCGCCCCCTAGGCTGGCAGCGGCAAACGCACCGCCCACGGGGCGCACTACCTCAAAGGCCAGAAGAGCGGCCATGTGCGGCTCCTGATTGGGCGGCCGGGGAGAGGGGGTTGGCCCTGCGCGCTGGAAGTGACGTATCGGAAGTTGCTTTCCCTGGCGAAGCCGCTGGCGCAGTGTTGGAAATTGGAGTTGAAAATAGAAAGCGCCAGAGCTGCTGCCAGCCGGGTTTCCAAATCTGTGCCCAGTAAATGCAGATCCAGCCACTTAGCCGGTTTGTTGCGTTCTTTCTGCTGCGCGAGTGGCATGTGTCAGTGACTTCCCCGAGCATCCCCAGGAGATCAAAGCCGAGAGGTGGAGGCGAACAAGCAGCAACCGATTTGGCAAAAGTGGAGAAACCACGGACTGTCCTAAGCGTTCCCGCATTTAACTCGGTCCCTCGCGATTGCCTGAGCACCTGCCGTCCTGGCATCCTGTCGTTGGCTACGCAGACTGCACGCTGTTCTTCGTAAAGAAAAACATCGTTTCCGGGCATTTTCTCTTAAGAAGAATTTAAATAGGGGTGGGGGGAGAAGATGTCCGTTTTTCCTAAGATATCGTTGAGACCTGAGGTTGAAAATTATCTTAAAGAGGGATTTATGAATAAGGAGGTAGGTGAGAAAAGAGTATTTGACATGAATAAGGTAAACGTTTTAAAGGTGAAGTGTAGGAAAGAAGAAGAAACTTGCGTGCCTGTCAGGAATGGCACTGCAGAGGAAAATCCTAAATAGAAGAGACACCTGTTGGAGCCCATGTTCTGGCCATCAGGTGGAAAGTATGTAACCTCAGTGACCCTGTAAATGTCATCAGTGTGCCAGATGGTTTGCCAGCCTTTTGCATTTTAATCTTCATAATTGTTTTTGATAGAGGCTTGTTCTCATTTAAACCCAGGGTCCAAGGAGTCACGTGACTGATGTAACTTGAACTAGCTATCAAACAACTAAATTCTGAGGGCAAAGAGCTCAGGTGTAGTGAAAAATATCCGGAGTTAAAATCTCAAGCACTTGATTTGCGTTCCAGTTCTTTGAACAAATTATCATCATTTAGTCTTGATTTTCTTGGAAAATTGAGAAAGGTTAAAAATAATTTCCAATGTTGTTTTAGGGTGTCCAGCCTAAGTGGAAGCAACTGGCATCGTTTTGGCACAGCACAAGTCTTGAGACGATTGTTTTTGAGTGCAAAGCCTGTGTATTTTACTCTACCATGCTGCCTCTAGGCAGCTTTACTTTTTAAAAATCTTTAGTTTTGTCAAATGAAAGCCACTTAAATGTTACTCATTCTTTGAATGATATTGGAGCCAGGACTTTTAGATTTGATGTCTACATTTTATTTACTTGATTTCAAGGGACTTAAAATATATGGTGTATGTTAAGAGAAGTAGGGGAATTCAGCAATTATTTCTAGCAGTTTTTTAAATGATAAAAATTGTTTTATAAAAGGTCCAAATATCTTTCTTTGACCACATCTTTTTTTCAAACCAAGTATAAGATTTTACAAAAACAAAAACCATCTCTTCGTTAAAAGAAAAAAAAAGTGGAAGGGAAAGAATATTCAGTATTAACAAAACCTTTAGAAAGGTAATATGTTAACACTGGTAGATTAGAAGGCAGACAAGGGTTTTTGAAGATTCTATGAGAGTATTGTCAAAAATAAATAAATAAATGAGGACTCATTGTTGGTTGAGTCTTTATACCTTGGTTTCTGACAGGTACGTTTGCTATTCTACCCATCTTTTTTGGACTATATCTGTTACATTTAATAATAACATTAAAAAGCTGATATCCTGGGGGAATCTTTGGTTGACAATGAGTATACCAGTGTTACTTATTCTTCAAATATTGGTATTTTAAAAGGTTACTAACCAATTTGCCTCCAAATATTAAGTTAGGAAATAGCTCTACAGAAATGCTCTAACAGTTAATGCATTAGAAATACATACAATGAAATCCTGAATTTATATGAATAAATGTAGTAGATAATAACATTTTAAAATATTGTGGTTTGAAGTTGGCATAGTGTTTTTCTAAGCCTCTATATGAGGCATTTTGTTAGGTGTTTATGACCACAATTAAGAACTCTGTGAAGTTTACTATTTCCTTAGTGCTAACTCAGACATACACAAACAAAACACCAAAATAAAATGGAACTGAACAATTGCTAAAAGATGTTTCATTCGATGGAACAATTGTATATGCATATTCTGCTGGATATTTTTAATTTGTATATGAAAGTGAAACATTAACTTGTTCTTTTTCAGGTTGTATCTGCTTCAAGTAAACAAGAAGCAGAAAGGAAGTTTGAAACTCTGTTAAATCACTTGTCCCACCCTCCATCTTTCACAACTGTCAGAGTTAATACACATTTAGCCTCAGTTCAGCATGTGAAAAATCTGTTGATTGTTGAACTTCAGAAGGTTTGTGCAAATTTTATGTGTTGTATTCTTTTTTATGATCTGTCATGTTGTTTCCTATTTGATCACCCAGCTAGATCACCCCCACAGCCCATCCCCGAAATGTTTTACAAGTAAGCCACTTAAACATGATTTATGTTTATAAAACCAGGCAGTAAGCAAAACTGAGTCTTACAAAGAAGTCAAGATGCATCAGAATTAGAGAACACTGTGGTCTTGAGATGTTTATTTTTACACTATTCCGTGGAATAAAATGAAATTGCCTCAAACCAAGCTTCCTGCTGTGGTGGATTGTGATACTAACAAACTCTGTAAGTTGAAATTTGTCAAATATACTGATTGCTTTATAATTATGTTTATTTTTAACAGCAGTTTAATGAATTAAGTATTCCTGTTCTTCAGCATCCAGACCTTCCAGATGTTTTACTTATTCCTGTGATTGGACCTAGGTTTGTGACTATTTCATTTTAAAGTTATACTCTAAATAAAAATTTGTGATAGGATTGCTTTTAACTGGTGATAACATTGAGTTTGTCATTGTTAGCCTCTTTCTTCTGAGTTGCAGTGATCAGGTGTGTGTCACCACTCCCAGCTTAGATCCGTTAAAATTTTTATGCTAATATTCAATTTGCAATTTTAAAGAATTTTAAAGTGTGTTTTCTCTATTATTTTAATAACATAATCTTTTGAGATCCAAATGAAGCTGGATTTACCTTCTCTTTCAGTCTTTTATAGTTACCTTGTCACTAATATCAATAGTGTCCTAGTTTAATTCTCACAGTTCTGGAAGCTAGCAGTCTGAAATAAGTCAGGTTCTGGTGATAGCCCTCTTCCGCATTACAGATGTCATATACATTCAGAGAGTAGTGAGCTGGTTCTCTGGCCGCCTCTTATAAAACCACTAATCCCACTTATGAAGGTTCCGTCCTCATACTCGATTATCTTCTAAAGGTACTTCCAAAATGCTATCACATGGAGATTAGAGTTTAAGAATATGAATTTTGGGCAGGATGCACACTCAGTCTGTAATAAGCACATTAATATTTTAATTTCTGTTATATGTTTGAAGTCATAGGTTACTTGCAGTAGAATTTCACGTAATTGCATAAAAACTACTGATTAAATAAAGATGACAGTCCTCCTAAAAAGAAATTAATTGGCATACAACTATATCATCTCAACATTATTTTATTTATTTATTTTTGGTAGTACTGAGGTTTGAACTCAGGCCTCACGCTTGCTAGGTAGGCACTCTTACCACTTGAGCCACTCTGCCAGTCCTTTTTTGTGATGGGTTTGTTTGAGATACGGTCTCTTGAACTGTTTGCCTGATGTTGGCTTCAAATCTTGACTCTCCTGATCTCTGCCTTCTGAGTAGCTAGGATTACAGGTGTGAGCCACTGGCACCTGGCTTCAAGATTTTTTATCATCTAATTGACGAATGTTATTTATGTGTGATTTAAAAAGTGCTGAACTGAATAAATAAGAGTATTTTTATGTATCTTCATGGAATATTCTCATAATCTGTTTTTAATTCCTAGTCTCTTTATTTTTAATTGTTCTAATAGTTATCTTGATACTATTTTCTTCCAATTTGTTATTGCTGTACTGTTAGAAATCTCTTGTATTGTTGTTGATTCACTGTTTGTAGAAACATTTCAGTAATAAGCTTTAGCATATTTTGGCCCTGTACCCATTCTTACGTTAACTTTTTTATGTTTCCTAGCTAAAACCAACCCCCCTACATGGGCTGGCGTGTGGTATAGTGGTAGTGAACCTCCTTATTAGCATGTGTGAGGCCCTGGGTTAGAGCGCCAGCAGTACACACAAACAAAACAGAACAAACCTCCAGCCAAGCTGACTTAATTATTCGGGGATCAGACATGGTGGCTTACACCAGTATTCCCAGCTACTCAGGAGGCATTGGTAGGAGGGTGGCTGCCTGAGGCTGGCCCTGCCAAAGACACAAGAGCCTATTCAAAAAACAACTGAAGTGAGATAGGCCTGGTGATGTGATTCAAGTGATAGAGTGCCTGCCTAGCAAGCATGAGACCCTGAGTACAAACCCCAGTACTGCCAAAAAAAATAGTACTTTTTATGACATACGAGTGCTCCTCAACTTACAGTGAGGTTATGCCTGAAGAAACCCATTGTGAGTTGAAAGTGCATTTAATACACCGAACCTACCAAAAGTCATAACATAGTACACTAAAGAATATTGTGTTCATCCTCACAATTGTGTGGCTGCCTAGGAGTTATTGTTCACAGCACCCTACCACACTAGACTGGAAAAAGATCAAAATTCAAAATCCGAAATAAAGTTTTCTACTGAATGCATGTAATTTTTGCATCCATTGTTGAAAAATTCTAAGATGAACCATTGTAATTCAGGGACCATCAATATTATGTTTTTATATAATTATTCCTTTTACTCCTGGGTCCCACAAACTATTCACTGGTTCCATGATTCTCTTAAGAATACTCACACGATTCAACAAATCATTGTCTTCAGAACTATGACTTATTACAGTAAAAGAATGTGAGGCACCCTGTGAGGATTTTATAGATATGTTACAATGACCCCTCCAACGTCTTAGCATGGTCCCACAAGTCTGGGTCTGCTCATCAAACCCACCAGTTAGAACTCCTTATAGGAAAGCTGCTTACATAACATTCTGGACCACAAGTCCATATCTCTGACTCCTCACTAACTGGCTGTGTGCAATGCCCCTAAGACCTTATCAGCCCTTATTGGTAGCATGTTTCTCTCCTGGTCATATAAGTAATAAACTCTTTTTCTTAATTAAAAAATAATGTGAAGCTTCATCAGCAAAGGGAAGATGCTCATGAGGTAGAGTCCAGTGAAAATCAGGCACAAACTTCTAAATTTCCCTTCCAGGGATTACACCTGTGAAATGGTGCCAACCAGGGAAGCTCAGCAGGGATTCCTATTATGAGCTTAAGTAGGCACTCCCTGCCAGGTACATCCCCAAATTCCATTGGTGTTTACCAATGCACATTGCTTGTACAAACATTTTAGGCACAGCAAATTACTCTTTTATCAGTTAATAAGTACCCTGCTGAAATCTAAATTCCCTGTTGACAATCAGAACCAGCCTTATAAGCAGGCCCTGGGAAGGGTAACTTTTCAGGCCTGCTGTGCTAACTCTTCTCCACAGGTGGCTACTCCAGAATTCATTCTTTTCTCAACTTTCTCTGATAAACACTATATGGTCCAATTTCACAACACAGTTTCTCATTTGTGCTATGTATAAGAAGCATGGGTATTACGAAGCTGAATGAGATGTAGGAGATACAGTTGTTTAGCCCAAAAGTAGGGAACATTGATACAGTTCACACTGTTTTGGTTCTGTTTTAGTTCTTTATACATCTACATAGTAGATGTATAAAGTATATGCCATTGGAGCATAGAATAGGAGGCTATGAATACATAGAAACTCGAAAAGATTTTCTCCAAGCAGATTTCAGTTGAACTTGAAGCTGAGTAGAACTTAGATTGGTGCAGAGGTGAGGTGGGCAGGGATGTGCTAGGTAAGGTGAAGGCATGAGCAAAGATATGAAGGCATAAAAATATATGGTGATGTGTGAATATATGGTGGCTACTAAATTGGTTTTCAAAAGGGTGGGTAGATGAGATTGAAGAATTGGAAAAGGCAGACTGAAATATAAAAGATATTTTTACTAAGGAATTCTGTTTCCCCCCCCCAAAACTGTATGAGCCAAAGAGTTTATTCGAGTAATGATTAGATCTGTTTTAGAAATGTAATACTGGTAGTAGTTACCCATTAGTGGACTGTGAAGTCAGTTTTGATGGGCTTTTATAACTATTAAAACTTATATTTTACCATATTGCAATTTATGTGGTGAAGGTATTGTTTTATGAAATGTTGGTTATAAGTCCACACACAGGATGCTATCTGTAGTGGGTTGGGTATTCATTGTGTTTCTTACATCAGGTTACAGTCAAAATTTCCAAAAATTTTTTTCTCTTTTTGGATGTTCTTTTTTCTTTCTTTCTTTTTGAAATGGGGTCTCCCTATGTAGCCCATGCTTACCTGGAACTTGCTATCCTTCTGCCTCAGTCTCTTGAATACTGGAATTACAGGTATATGCTACTACACCTAGCCACAAATTATTTTCCAAAAGAAGATAAGTTATAAAATTGGAGACAAATTAGAAAACAATTTGAGTCTTTTCATTCCAACAATTCCTAGTTAACTAGATAACCTGAAAATGTTTCTGCTATATACATATAGTTTATTTTGTGTGTGTGTGTGTGTGTGTGACTGGGATTTAAACTCAAGGCTTCACGTTTGCAAAGCAAGTGTTCTACTACTTGATCCACACTTCCAGTTCTTGTACATACAGCTAGGAATGCTAAATAAAAAGTGAAAGTTGTCATAAAATGCATAGTTGAGTAAGAATGTTAAGTGAAATATTCAGGACTTAGGAATGGAGAATAATTGAAAACAGCAATAAGCATATGAGCTAACACCAGAGGGTTGAGGATATGAGAGAGGAGGTGGTTGGTTGGCTTACAAGATTTAGTGTCTTTGGTTTTAACAACAGGGTGTTAATCTTGGGAGTGTGAAATATCCAGTATTCAGTGTAAGGCAGTAATTAGGGAATGGGTCTCTCTTAGGGCCTATGTTTGAGAAAAAAATTTTTCTGAGAATGCATAAGTATTATTCCATACCTCACAGAAGTTTGGAATTTGAATTCTTACTACCCAAGTTATTTGAAACCTACAATCTGGAAAACTGATCTAAAATTTTGGTCCTAAGCCAATTCTTGACGTACTTGGCATAAACCAAACAAAGCCATTCTGGAGTGACACTTTCAATCCAAGCCACCACTTTTTTTAGTAATTAAAAGCTGTATTAGGACTCACCACCATGGAAAAAGCACATGTATGGTAAACTACAGAGGTAGATTTCCCCTCAAACTTTAACAACTTTACAGTTCTCTGGTAGGAAATATAAATGTATTTTCTTAAAATGATAAATCATAAAGGACCTAAGAGGAAAAATTGATAAACAATTTATAGAAATAAAATATCATTCAAATTAAAAACTCAGTGCATGAATTAAATTTAGACCCAATTGATAAGTTACTGAATTGGGAATGACTCTTAGGAAATTACTTAGAATGTGGCAGAAGTAAAGAAATTACATATATGAAAGTGAAATTGAGTAATGGGAAATAGAATGAAATGGCAATTTGAGTTCCAGATGTAAATAATAGAAGTAATAGAGAAAAGACAATAAGAAAAACATGTAATGATGGAGATTTTTCAGAATTGATCAAAGACAAATTTAAGAAGTGTAAGTCTGAAGCTAAAAGTAAAAAAATCCATTTGTAGATACTTCAGAGTTTTATTACAAAACTCCAAAGACATAAAGAAGATCTGAAAACAATTGTAAGTAAAAGGCAGGAGGCTATTGCAGTAATCAGATAAAGAGACTATGTTTGCTTTATATCAGGGGCTGGGCCCAGGAGTCCTATCAGAAACAGGCAGCATTATTCTGTAACTCAGTGAATGTCAAATCTTAGGAAGGAGTTTAGGCTTGAGATCATCTAGAGCGTCTTAGTCTGTTGCGTTGCTGATATAGCGGAATATCTGAGCAGAGTGATTTATAACTGAGACACTTCTGGAGGCTGGGAAGTCCAAGATCAAGGTACAGGTACCTGATGAGGGCTTTCTTCCTCACATCATCTTCACATGATGGGGGTGTGAGGGCAAGAGAGAAGGAACCCATTTCCACAAACCCTCTTATAGCAGCATTAATCCATTTCATGAGGGCAGATCTCACAAAAGGCCCTTCGTTCCAGTGCTTTGTGGATTAGTTTCCAGCACCTGAATTTTGAGCGACACATTCAGACCATAGCACTGAGACTTCTAGTTTAATTATCTAGGTAGATAATGATACCTCATTTAAGTTTTGAGGTCATGCCAAAGAGTTGAGGAGTGTGTGAGAGAAATATTGTTTGGGAGTTGTTGAGTTTGAAATAAGTATGGGACATCTAACTATATACTATGTAAATATCGATTTAAAATAACACTAAATGTTAGAATTTGAGGGTTGTGTTTTAGTTTTGAGGGACCAGTCTTACTGTGTTACTCAGGCAAGTTTTGAACTCATGGGCTCAAGTGATCCTCCTGCCTCTAGCTTCCTGAGTAGCTGGGACTACAGACTCGTACAACCATGCTGACTCTTGAGACTTTTTTTAAGGTCATTATTGAAATCATGAAATTGCTAAGGGATAAAATGAAAAGTGAGTCTAGATGGTGGTGGTTTTGGTACTTGGGGGAGTGAGCTCTTTATGAAGCAGGCAGAGAATGAATAGTACAAATGCTTGGGACCGGGAAAGTGTGGTGTAAAGTTCAGAAGTTTAGTACAACTTTATAATTGGGTGTTATAGAAGGAATAAATGTTACACACTCAGTTCATTCGGCAGTGAGTTATGACAACACATTCAGAATGATGCCAATCAGGGAAGCTCATTAGGGACCCAGTGCCCAGGACTGGGTCCCTAATCAGGGCTGGTCACTCTGGCACTCCGGATCTTGAAAAAGTTTTCCCTAAGTGTTAGAAATGATGCCCAGATTTTAGTGGTCTGAAAAATGAGTGGGATATGAGAAATTGGAAAGTGCTCAAAGGATTGGACATCCCTGGAATTATTTCTCTTATCTATTTGAAAGTATTCAAAATTTACCATGCAGCGGTTAACACTTGAGCAATGTTTGTAATTTGTTATGTGTTTTTGTTTTAATCTCTGAAGGCAGTGAGAATCTATTTTTCTTCTAATGCTATTAGGAAAACAGTAATGCTTATTAAATGACTAAGCAGTTTCTTGTGTCACTTCCCTGCCTTCCACCAGATGGACCTCTTTCAATTGTATCTTTTCTCAAGTGCCCATTCTTCCTTTTTTAAAAAATCTGTTGCTCTATATGTGTCCCTCTTTTTTCAGCTCTCTTTCTCATTTATTCTGGAAAATCAAGACTAAAGAGGTTATCTATGTAGAGTTGATATTGAAACATTGAGAAAAGTTTATAGGCTATGGAAGAGTATTACTCTGTTAAGTTTTCTTTTCCTTAATATTCTTAGAAAGAATATTAAAAAACAACAGTGTGAGGCCATTGTTGGAGCCCAGTGTGGAAATGCAGTGTTAAGAGGAGCCCATGTCTATGTTCCAGGAATCATGTCAGCTTCAAAATGTACGTACGAGGCATAGGGTTCTCTAAAACTTATGCATTATCAAATGGAAAAGTTATTATCACTCAGATGTGTATCGAATTTACCTGTGTTAGATCTTTTTCAAGTTTTGCATTTAATATACCCAGCGAGGATATCTGATAAGGATTAACAAATTAGGCATGCCCATAAAGCTTTCTGTCATTTTTTTTCTTTCTACCTAAATATATGTATAATATTTATTTAGGGAGTCATTACAGACAAGGAGAGGTCCCATTTGGTTATTTTGACTTTATTGTCTTAAAACCGCAGGCTGCTGTCCTGTCATTTGTGAGGCTAACATCCAAAAGCTGTAATCAAAACATTGGGATGAAACTTGATATTCTTAGTTTATTCACATTGTTAATGGGATATTGCATATGCTTAGGAGGTTAGACACTTCTTCAGTGGTGTCTAACTGGACTTGAAATCAGGAAACACTGGTTTTGAGATACTACAAGTTTAGTCAGTCTCTAGGCCTCAGTTATCTTTTGTATGAAATCAGTACTTAGATCTGTCTGTACCAGAACTAATGGCTTGCTAGTTTGATCTGCCTCTTGTTTGTTTTTATCTTGTCTGAAAACTAAAATTTTTTTTCTAGTTTTGGAGAGTATTTTTGAGGGATTTACATGTCATTTTTGAGGAATCATTTTGAAGGAAACTTAGAACTTTCAGTGTTGAGCCACAATATCAAGATTTATATGAAATCTTTTAAGGTGTGTTAGATTTGGGGGAAATAATTTGTATAGACAATATCCTCCTCTCCTCAACTGAAGATTTCCAATTAAGGTAGAATGTTTTTGAGATGTTCAAATTTCTTTGTTTTCAATGTAAAAGCTCTCCAGTTAGCTGTTAGGGGATATTTAAAAGCCAAGAGTTAGATTTCCTAGTAAGTATTCTGTTGAGATAATGAGCAAGTTTGAATGGCTTAATGACTACTGTTGATGTCCTGGAGACCCAGTCTAAGGTAAAGGACTTTCACTGTACTTCTCCCAAAGCACGGATTAGTGTAATTTGACTTTTCTTCTTTCTCTAGTTATGAAAGCTGGAGATGTTATTTCTGTTTATTCCGATATTAAAGGGAAATGTAAGAAAGGAGCCAAAGAATTTGATGGAACAAAAGTATTTCTTGGAAATGGAATTTCTGAGCGAAGCCGCAAAGAAATCTTCGGTGGGCTACCTGCACTGAAGTATGTCATCAAGTGTTCTGGAAAAAAAGCCTCCTTTTTCTGGTTCAAAAAAAATTAAAAATGCATCTAGTTTTGTTATATTTTGGATATAAATTCAAAATCATTTAACCAATGTTTCTACAAAAAGTCTTTTTAGGTAAAAAACTGTAAAAGGTCAGATTAAAAAGCCCAAGTATTGAGGTAGGAAAATATCTCAATGGTATGCACAAGGCCCTGATTTGATCCATGGCACTGCGAAAACAAGACAAAGCACAAAGAAGCAACCAGTCATATTGTAATTGTGAAATCATTTTACTTGTCATTTTAAATTTGAATTATGTGAAAATTCTTGTGCCTTTAAAGAATAATGCTTATCTTGATAGAGAATCAGTTAGATGACTTATCTAGATCTTAACATTCTTTGTGAAAAAATTTTGATTTTAATATAGATTAAAATTGAATTAAATCTTACTAGAAGACCAGCACTCATACGAGTGTTTACAGTCAAAACTGAATGTTTGGATTTGTTTAAGCCAAATTAAAGTATAGTTGATTCTGAATCATCTCTGGGTGTTAGTGGCTCTGAATAAACCAAGGACAAATTAGGTTCTTATTTTATTCAGTTTTTTCAGCTTATTTTTGTAGTGGTATAGAGAAGAGCTGTATTACTCCAAAGCTGACAGCTGAAATAGACATGCTGAAAACTGTTAATTTATCCACTCACAACTGGACCATATCTTCAATTCCTGGGACAGTTATTCATGTTGCAGCACTTTTTCTCTGTAAATGAAATTTTTTTAAAAGAAACCATTGGATTCCCTAGATCTAGAAACCAGCACTTTCCAGTTGCCAAACACTGACCTGATTTTATTCTCCTTAGAATGCTTTATGAATAAAAAAATTACAGAAATATCTGTCGTGTTTATCTTTGGGCCTATAATAGAGAATTGAAATTTTGAGTGCCTTTGTTAGTTCATTATAATGGTATACTCTTCATTCTTTTATTTAATGAGGTGGTTCTAGTTATAGTGCTGAAAAATGTTTTGTGAACACTGTTCTGAATGTTTTTTTGCTTGTGGGAATAGAAACTGGCCATTTTTCAAAAAATAGTTGGCTTTCTCTGACAGTGATTGTGTGCTTTCTTTGCCCTTGATAGTCTGTGACTACCTCTCTCAGATTGTAATGTTTGTCTTCATGACTCACTGTCCACTTTGCCATCCTGTGTTGGGGCCCTTTGTGTTCTAAACAGCTCCACTTACCACTCATAAAACAGCACAAAGGTGGAGAAAGCCACTGGGATTGTGTCAGTCCTGGGAAGTTATTCTATAAAAAGATGAGAGGGGAGCAGGGTGGTGTGTGTGTGCTTGCTCAGCATCAGCATGATACTGGTAGGTGGTTTTTCAGTTTTCATACACATACATAGCAGAGTGCTTTGTAAGCTTAGTCATTCACAAAACATTTGTTTCTGGGCATGGTGGTGCGTACTTTTTATCCCAGTTGTAGGAGGCATAGGTAAGAGGATCTTGGTCCAAGTCTGGCCCAAGGCAAATGCATGAGACTCTATCTAAAAAAAATAACTAAAAAGGCAAAGAGGGTGGGTACATGGCTCAGCTCTTAAGAGTACTTACCTAGGATGTGCAAGGCTCTGAGTGTAAATCTCCACTGTTGCCAGACAGACACGCACACAAGTAAACCCAAAATGTTTGTTGAGTGGAAAATTCACAGCACTGGTCATAAATCGGTTGCCAGAAAGATTAGAGTGTGTCAATATACAATCTGGTGCAGTTTTACTCAGATTGCTACAGAAACTCTTGTGTGTAAATGAAAGAGTTATGTAACTTGATCTTTTTAGTTCTAGTGGGTCTCTTGTACTCTACTTTCAGGTAAAAATCAAAAATAATTCATAGGACCATGCTATTTTAGTGTTAAATAAAAGATTTTAAAAGTCAGGACATTTTATAATTGACATGCTACTACTTAGTTACATTCCTAGGAATGTAACTATGTAATATATACAAATTAATGTTAGATTTCCTATTTTTCAGAGGTATAGGTATAAGAATGACAGAGCCAATATATCTCAGCCCTTCATTTGACAGTGTTCTGCCCAGTTACTTATTTTTACAGGTAAGTATTTATAAGGATAAAATATTTATTGACATTAAAGCATAAGTGAATTGTTTGAATCTTGTTTGTACTGATGTTAACATATTTTGTGTATTATTTATGTACTGATACCTGTGCACAAAGAAGAGAAAATTTATAAGTACCTTATTTTCCTCTACTTCCTTTTCTGTATTGCCTTTTTATGAGATTAGTGAGAAGTAATTGTTCAAAATATATGTTTATGTATTTCTGAAAAGATTAAGGGTTTTTTTTTTTTAATAAGTACTCTTTCCTGTTTTCTTTTTCTCTATATATATTTTTAAGGTAGGGTCTCACTATATGGGCAGGCTGACCTCAAAGTCTTGTCAGCCTCTTGAGTGCTGGGATTACAGGTGTGCATCATCACAGCTGGATTCTGTATTGAATTTTAAGATATGTTTTCTGTCATCTTTGTCCAAAGGTGATTTAATGACATATTAGAATTACTATTTTCCATTTCAGAATATTAATTCTTAAGTAGTGCACACATTTGATATACATGTAAGTGTCCATGTGTAACTCTCAGTATGATTCAAATGGCTTGCTGCTACCTGATTTTCAGGTATTTATTAATTATTGTAACATAATACTTTGATTTGTCTTTTGCAGTTTATTAAGTACTTTCATGTACACTTACTCATATGATTTGTTACTGATTTGGTGATACTATTCCATTATAAGATGAAGATACTGAAGACAAGATCTGTTAAGGTTGTCAGCCAAGTTCTCACAACTCGTAATTGTTAGAATCTGAACACAAACCTAACTCCAGAGCCTTTCTTCTCTTCCCAGTATTAAAACTAAAGCTATTTCATAAATTCAGACACTTCTGGGATGAGTGAACAGAAATGATTTATGTTTATTACCATCTAATTACACAATAGTGATGATGTAAAATATTGGGATATATAGACTAATATATAATTGCCTATGATTCATTTGGAGTTATTTCGTTTGCTTAGTATTAGTTTTTTTCTTGTTTGTTGTATAATCCATTTTCAGGCTATTTTATGTAATCTATCCAGATGACCACTGATTGGCCAATGAAACTTACTAAAAATGACAATGTACCAACAACTAATATTTATTACATACTTACTGCATTCCGTGTGTTGTACTGAGTGTTTTGCATACAGTTTCATATATGCTTACAAACCTCCAGCTGCATAGATAAGGAAATGGAGGCTTAGAGAAGTAAAGTACAAAGCACATAGTAGGCCCTCAGTAATTTTCTAGTGGTTCAATGCTATATAGATAGAAATCAGCAAAGCAAAAATATAAACTCAAGTCGTTGATTCCAAGCCTGTGTTCTTGACTCTATGCCAGTGCTTGAAATGTGATTTTTGGAATGCCTGCATCAGAATCACCTGTGAGGCCTACTTAAAGTGCAGGCTAAGCCCCAATTTGAGCTAAGAGAGTGAGGGCTCCGGGCAGTTCACATATGCCTTAAGCTTTCCAAACGTGACTTTTACAATATTCCAGAACTCTGTGGCCAGTGTTTAGTTGGTATAGAAATTAATTGATCTTTTTATATTAAATTTCTCTTTTCACAGTAGTTCAGAACTACCATAGTCTCACCTGGTTCCTAACTGATTCAGTAAAATATAAATAGCTTGATAGAATCAGTCCAGAACAAGGTGATACTAGTTTCCTTAAGGAAAGTTCCCCCACTAAATGCACAGAATAGTAAGTTTACATTAAGAAGAATGCGAGGGGATTCCAAGATCGTGGCTAGAGGTAGGAAGCAGAAAGCGTGCCACCTAAAGTAAAATCTTGGAGAGACGCTGGAGGTACACCTTACATGAAAAACCACCCAGAAGAGGCAAAACTTTGACCCTCTCCGCACCTCCAGCCTGTGCATAGCATCTCCACTTCATGTTAAACAGAAAAACCAGGAGGGCTCCTGTGCTGCCGCCAGACACCAGCACGCAGACCACAAGGTGAGCTAACTGGCATGCGGTCCTCCCACAGACAATCCTGGGCCAGATCAGCATAGCCCCCTGGACAGACCGACCCCCACCCAGGGAAAAAAGAAAAACAAACTGAATAATAAACAATAACAACAAAAAAGACATGCAGCAAAGAGGGTGGGGCACCCTGAGCGCCGAAGAGTGGAGGAGGGGCAATCCCACACAGAACTGTAAATAAACAAGCCGCCGGAGAAGACAGGAGCAGCAGCACATGCCCAGCAACCAGGAGCAGGAAAGCTTGTAAAAGTGGCTTTGGGAGGAAAACTCCACAGGAGGGGGGAAGGCCCACTTCCCATGTGAACTGTAAATAAACACGCTGGCCTGAGAGAGTGGGTGCAGTGTCACCCGCCCCCAGTGTGCTTGGAAAGGGAAAAGCTTGTAGCAGTGGCTCGCGCACAGGAGAACACTGAGTAAACAAAGCCTGTGGGGCCAGTTGAGTCCTAAGCTCACCCCAGAGATCTGCATAAATAAAACCTCCAGCAACAGTAGGCAGATAGCAGCAGGCAGGTGAGCCACAACCACAGATAGCCATTCACAGAACTGTCTCCAGACTCTTTTTTTTTTTTCTCTCTCCCTACCTTTGATGAGACAACAACCAAACTACACCTGCAAGCTGAAAAACTTACTGAAACTGTTGCATTTGAACTTGGGACACTTTATGGTGTTTTTTTTGTTTTGTTTTTTTCCCCTTTGATGAGACAATGACAGACTACATCTGAGACACCATCTCCAGGATTGGAGGCTGAGGGACTAACACCAAAATTATTAAGACTGAAACTTCATTGCATTTGAACTTGGAGATTTTATTATTTTTATTTATTTATTTTTTATTTTATTTTATTTTCTCAATCCTCTCTCTGTCTCTCTAATGCCTTTTCAGCTTACTGTCGATTAATACACTATCTCTCCCTGTTTATATCTTTGAAACTTTTTTGTTTGCTTGCTTTCGTTTTTTTGTTTACTTGTTTTTCTCTCTTTAACTTCTTTGCTTTCCCTCTCCTCTCACTCTTCCATTCTAAATATCACCATTGTTATTATTACAAGCTAGAAAATACTTAATTGTACACAGTACAGGGACAATAACAACACCAAGAGCAATGACGGGAAGACAATAAAAACAGGGAAACCAGTTTCTCAGAGCAAAAAATTAATACAGGCACCAGAGGGAAATGGAGAAAACAGATAGTGAGATCCAGACTCCAACAAAATGAAGATAAACTATGCCAAAGACCCCAATGAAACCCACAAGAATAATCTAAAAGAAGAAATACTACAGGTAATCAATGAGAATTTTATAGAGATGATACTGGATATGGTCAACCAAAATGTACAGGAGACACTCAAGAAATTCCAAGACAACAAAAATAGAGAATTTGAAAAAGCAGAAGAAGAAATAAAAGAAACCATAGAAGCACTGTATAAACAGCAAAGTGAAACAGAGAACATGATTAATAAAGAGATAAATGAACTCAGGATGAAAATAACATTAAAGAGGAAATGACTCAGGATATGGAAAACTTAAGAAAAAAGAACGAAACAGAATTGCAAAACAAAATGGAAGGCCAGTCTGGCAAATAGAACAAACAGAAGACAGAACCTTAGAACTCGAAGATGAAATGGAAATTAAAGGAAAAACCGAAGAACTATTAGTTAAGCAACTCAAGATCTGTGAAAAGAAAATGCAAGAACTCACCAACTCCATCAAAAGACCAAATCTGAGCATCATGGCCATTGAAGAAGGAGAAGAGGTGCAAGCAATGGGAATGTGTAATATATTCAAAAAAATAATAACAGAAAATTTCCCAAATCTAGAGAAATCTGTACCCATACAGATGTGAGAGGCCTCCAGAACACCAAACTGACCAGACCAAAATAGATCTACCCCACAACATATTATCATTAAAACAACAAATACAGAGACCAAGAAAGAATACTGAAGGCTGTAAGAGGAAAAAATAAATAACATACAAAGTTAAAACCATCAGAATCACAGCAGACTTCTCAACAGAAACATTAAAAGCAAGAAAACCTTGGGGTGACATCTTCCGGGCATTGAATCAAAATAACATCAACCTTAGGATACTCCACCCAGCGAAACTATCATTCAAAATAGATGGAGCAATAAAAGTCTTCCATGATGAGCAGAAACAAACAATATGTGACCACAAAGCCACCACTACAATTATTCTTCAAGGGATTCTGCACACAGAAAGTGAAACCCAACATAACCGTGAAAAGGCAGGCAACACCAAACTGCAGGAAAAGAAAAAGCAAGACAGTAGAGAGTAACTTCAACTTAGGTACACACAATCAAACATTCAAACAACTAAGACAATTAAATGACAGGAATCACCACATACATATCAGTACTAACACTTAATGTTAATGGACTTAATTCCCCCATCAAAAACCGTTTGATGAACTGTATTACAAAGGAAGATCCAACAATTTGTTGCTTACAAGAGACCCATCTCACCGACAGAAATAAGCATACGCTTAGGATGAAACGCTAGAAGATTTACCAAGCCAATGGCCCCCGAAAGCAGGCAGGAGTAGCAATACTTATCTCTGACAAAGTAGACTTCAAACCTACATTGATCAAACAAAATAAACAAGGACATTCCATACTAATAAAAGGGGAAATAGACCAAAAGGAAATAACAGTTATCAACCTGTATGCATCCAATGTCAATGCACCCAATTTCATCAAACATACACTGAAGGACCTAAAAGCATATATTAACTCCAACACAGTGGTTGTGGGAGACTTTAACACCCTATTATCATCAATAGATAGGTCATCCAAACAAAATAATCAATAAAGAAATCCAAGACCTAAAATATACAGTAGATCAAATGTACCTAGTAGATGTCTACAGAACATTTCATCCAACTTCTACACAGTATACATTCTTCTCAGCAGCCCATGGAACCTTCTCCAAAATAGATCATATCCTAGGGCACAAAGCAAGTCTCAGCAAATATAAGAAAATAGAAATTATACCATGCATT